TGTATGCTAATTATGAGCATACATTCTCACAACCTTTAACAGTATGTCTAAGACTGCGTGCAATGAAGGTCAATGGAGTTTTGTTTCTGCTGCTGAAAGTATTAGGAAATAACATTTGAAATTTATCAGTTTTCCTCTGTATTTCTTTGGGGAAATATTTCTAATGAAATGTAAAACTGTTCTGTGGACTGTATTTCATTCAGCTTGCATTGCATTGGGGCAGAGGAGACGACAGGTACATCCATCTCTGTGCTCGACCTCCCCCTTTAAATTCTGTAAAGTACCTTGTAGCTCTGGTTTTGAAAAAGCATTATAGAAATAAAGTTCACTTACTTAATTAATCTGTAGGTGTGTTTGCTCATGTATCTTTGTGAGGACCAGTGTCAGATCTTACAAGTGAGGACGTTGTTGGATTGTGAGGACATTTTATGTATTTTCCACTTTTTTGAATGTTTTTAATGAGGATTAGGGGTTAAATTTAAAATTAGGTTAAAGGTTAAAAAGGGTGTTCACAAGTCTAGTACATTGTGCGTCATCATTACTTGTGTCTACACATCCAAATACAGTCACGTGCCCTCCTCCACGTGTTTCTGTTGACCTCTAATAACTCTTTATTGTGTGCATGTGTTCATGTTTTACTCATTGTTCTTCCTCCTTTGGTATTTTTTAACACCACATCACACGTCCTCCGCTCTCAGGTTGAATGTTCTCCCTAGGGCGCTGGCTTAGCATCTGTTTGCCCATATCATCCTTCACTTTTAACTCTTGGGTGTGGACGGTGCGAATTGAGCGAGGATCAGCCCCCGAGCAGGTGGAAGGCTGGATTATATCTCAGAACAATGGATCTCACGGGGCAATAACAATCTGAATCGGCCTGCTCTTATTGGATGGTACCTGGGGAGAAGTATTCATGCCTTAACAAAAGGGGGATAAAATATCAAAATAATAAGGGTAACATGATACGGAGATGGGAGCTAAGAGAGCACAAGACCTTAAGCATTATTTTTTGTCTTTCTTTTGTCATTATCTGTTCCCTTTTTTCTTATTTAAACAATCTTTTTGCTTGAACTTGTTTTTTGTTCTTTTTCAGCTTAATTTGAGATACCATTAATGCCCCAAAGCACTTGTTTTGCTTCTATTTTTAGCTTCTTGTCTCTTCAGCCTCTTTGCCAAAAGTTTAATTTGAGCTTCTCCCTCCTTTTTTCTCCGTTTGTTTCAACCTTTTTCCTTCACTCTCCCTCTCTCTCTTTTTTTTTTCCCCTTTTCTCCGTCATCCATCCCAAATTTCACTGTTTCCCGGCTTCACTTTCTCCCTCTCCTTTGCCCTCCTTCTGTCACTGTGATTACAAGAGTTGAGGAGATCAGAGGGAAGAAAGCAGGACCAGCACCACTGACCTTTCCCCTCCTTCTCTCTCTCTCTCCTTCTCTCTCTCTCTCTCTCTCTGCTCTGTGCCAAGCTTGTTTCTTCCTTGTTGTGTGTTTTCCTCTCCTTTTCTTTCTCCACCACATTCAAGTTCGTGTTTTATTGTCTGCAGCTTTTTGTGGTTGTAGCTGACTCGGTTGTCTCGTCTCGGCCAGGTGGTAGTAGTTGTAGTAGTAGCAGCTGACAGTTGTGCTCTTTGGCATCTTAGTCCTCTGCTTATGCTACTTAATATGTTACCAGTTTTCTTAAAATAATGATTATCTTTCGACTGTAGGTTTGAAGACGTCACATTGGGTTTTAAGAAATTTTATTTTTCAGCATTTTTCTCGATTGAATCGAATCAATTAATCAAGAAATGTATCAGCAGATTAATCAATAATGAATATAAATGTTAGTTGCAGCCGTAAAGTAGTAGAAAATACAGTATTATATTAGTTTCTACTATAATCTAAGTTTCTAAGAGTTTTATTCTTAAATATTGCTTTTATTTTATTTTGTTGTAAAATTAGTCGCATAAAGTTGCTGAAAGTTACATCGAATAAGTCATGAGTTACTATATGTTTGCATGATCTGTAAATAACTACTGCTGTAATAAGTTAAATAAAAGCATAGACTTGATCATGTGATGAGGAAGCCACACCGTGCACCGCTTTATGTTGCGACTGAACTCAACCAGTAAATCGATCTAGACGTGTTTGGTGTGCGCTGAAGTTTTTGTGCTGAAATTTCTGAATACATTTGATAAGAGATCTGATTTTGCAGATTCAAAATTGGAGATGTGCAACTCAATAGCAGAGAATGAGGAGCATCTTCAGTTGTGAAAAATTCACCATATATAAATATAATAATGCANTGAAATTTCTGAATACATTTGATAAGAGATCTGATTTTGCAGATTCAAAATTGGAGATGTGCAACTCAATAGCAGAGAATGAGGAGCATCTTCACCATATATAAATATAATAATGCGACATTAATTAAAACAGCTCAGATCCATCCTGTGCAGTGTCGTCTATTAATGTCGTCATCTTGTCGACCCTTGTTAAATAAAAATTTCTCAGACGCCTTCACATGGGATATGCACAGTCTTTCTCAGGCTCTTATTATATTCGACTTGAGACCCAGACCAGACCAGCTGATGAGTACTAACAGGGGTCCTGGAGGGCCCTTGACCTCGATTGTTGTGGATATGAACACTCGCGGACTTTGCTCATATGAACTAATACACCCCGCACTCTTCATCACATTTCAGCTTTGACCTGCACACTTGCTCCTCCATCCACTCCTGTCCCCTTAATCTCCATCAGACCCCCAGTCAACACCCTTTTTGTCCCTCCTCCTCTCCCGTCCTCCCTCCTGTCCCTCTCTCCTCCACGTCTCACCACCCCGCCATCACCCTTTCATCCGCTAATCACGTTGAAACGCCAGCCATGACCTTTGAGTTTAACCCCAAAGGAGACCCCCAAATCACGGACTCGTACGAGACATTTGTTCATGTATTCACACGAAGGACTCGAGCATGCTAATTAATTACCTGCGTACATGTGCGTGTCATATTTTACACACGGTTTAGATGCAACACGTATAAACACGCAGATACATACAGGTCAAATAAGAAAAACACACATATTTCCGTTCACCATGTGGTCCATCGCCTCCCACCCAGAGACCCGACATGTGAATAGATGGCATTCGGTGTTGTGAAGTTTTAAGGACCTTTCGTATATGAGCTTATGCCACTCATACGTCAGCTTATAAAGGCTCGAAAAGCACTGCGTGATGTTTTCGCAGGTATGTCAGGAATGCCACCCAGTGAACTGAAGGTTAATCTGCAGTTCAGTTGGAGTTTATGCACCACAAATGGTGCGTGGTGACACTGAGTTTGTTTATTGGGAATAGGACGGGAAGTAAGAGCGGCAAAATGTGGCAAAAAAATCAAAGAGAGGGGAACAGCTTATAGAAAGCTATTGTCCACAACACTGCCATGTATGCATATAACGCCACCCGTGGGCCGTGTCGACCTTGGCGGCACAACTTTACGTGTGTTTTGGTTTGTACAGCGCTCAGTCTTCAGACGACCATGACAAATTATACATTGTTAGAAAGCTGTAAATCTCCTGATTCTGTCCGTGGAAACCCTTTTAGGATCCTCATGTCACCGCAGCAGCTGTTCTTCATTTTGTAGTACAATCGTTCTTGGAAGCAGACACATGTCCAAGCACTAAAAAACCCCACACTAAGCTTCAGTCCTGTGTTGTCATGGAGGAAAAGTTGTCTGATTGACTGATTGATTGATTGATTGATTGATTGAGACCAGGGTTATGACTGTGAGGTCCCACGAAATTATATTACAACTTCCTTAATGTGATGTAGTTCTCTTTGGAAGAGTATGTTGGGGTGGGATATTAAACAGCAAGTTTTTAAACTTCATTCTCAGTATTTATATCTTATCCTATAATCCCTAATTTTCACAGTCGTCTTTGAACACAACCTTAGCAGCATCACACAGCTGCAGTTCATATTGATTAACCTTTGATTCCCAGTGGAGCATCAGATCACCATTGAAAATGTGCAACTTTGCAGAAAGTTTTCAAGCCCCAATCCCACTAAGAACAGATTAATATTTCTTTGCTCATCAATCATTGGTTCTCAAGAACAAAGCTCCATAAACAACTTCTATGTAAACAGCATCTGTCTTCTGTCCTCACATTTTGTAATGGCCTGATAAACCCTTTTTGCATACGGTAAAAGTGGATTAGTTTAGTCTTTGTGCAACACTCAAATGTGTGATTTGATTTATTTTTTTCTTTCACACCAGCTCACTCCTGTTTTCCCTGGCTGAGAAAACAAGCATCCCGCAGGTCACAGTAGCGTTACGAAAGAAGTCACGGGGAATTTAAAGCTTCCCCCAGGGCTCCTGTTGGTATCACTGGCTCTATTCTTTCGGTTAGAGGTTTGACTCTGGTTGTAGTTAAGGTTGCGTTTCTGTTACTAATCAATGGGCACGTAAGAGCGCTGGAGGTGAACGGTGAACGGTCACACATCCAGTCAGGACGCAATGCAAAGGGAACACTTCATTGTTTATAACTCAAAGAACCTGATGCTACATGTTATGTTTGGATACATAATTAAATCTGCTCTTTAAAGAAAAAAAAAAAGTCATGTTCTTTATCTTTCAACACCTGGAATGAACATTGACTGGATCTGATCCTCCTTAAAATCCGGTTTAAATCCTTTTGCTTTTTTCAGGTTGCTGTACATCTGGCTGATGCAGCTGTTAGGATTCCTCATATGCACGTGACTTTAGATGTTTCTCTACTGCAGTGCTCTTTGTTTGATTGTTTTCTTTTATTCACGCGGGGATTTGAACAAAGACTCCTCCACTTTTGCAACAGCGTGCTTATACATTAGGCCTCGACGTGAACAAAAGACGGGAAATTGTGACTTTTGAGCTTTTGCTAACCACAATTTTCCAACATGAAAGGGAGAACAAACACCGAAAAATGTCTGGTCTTGAACAGAAATACATTTCCTAAGCAGTTGCTGTAATATCCTTTTCTCCCTCTCTGTTCTGCAGGGTGCAAAGTTTGACGAGCCGTGTGCAGGCCTGGACTGTAGCGGAGGATGTAGGTGCAATCCAGAGAAAGGCAGCAGGGTGAGTCACGTCTTATCTGCATGATGCTGTCTTCTTTTGATCTGTGTTAAAATCAATTTTATCTCTTTACTTTGAACCTAAAAATCATATTTATCAAAATGTAGACATGCATAGTTGCAGCGTTTTGTCACAATAAATCACAAAAGGGCAACGAACCATAGGAACCTTTATGTGATTCTGTGATTGCTTTCTTTAAATTAGATTAGTGCAATTTTCAGCCTGGTATTTAGTTACCAGCCTTATTTTATGTTGCAGTGTACAAATAGACACATGTGAATGTAAACAAAGACGAACAGGACTGAGCTCGTTATGTGATTGGATTTATTGCATTAAGCAGACTGATCATCTCTTGGCTGTGAGGTGAGCAAACTAAACTGGGTTGATTGTGATATTTGGCCCCTCCCACAAAACAATGTTTAGTTTGTTAACTATTTATTTCAGTTGAGGTTTCGATTTAAAAAGCTGTTCTGATCGTTTAATTTGCGGAAACAAGTAAATTACCTTTGGTTTGTCAAGAAACTGTGACCTCAGGGCTCCCATTTAAATTTGTTTAAATCTTTTTCCACACATCAACGCCACAAACATTATCACTGTTTGACATATATCAAAGTGAGCTCAGTGTCGGTTTGTGTAACGCATGCTCCAACAGCCCGTGTCTATAAGACTGTACTGTGATTTCTCCAGGCGAGGAATCAAACTCAGACTCGTAAACACAAAGCTGATCATGTCTCCGGGCGAGGAACTTGTTTTCTTGGCTTTGCTTCCATGACATTAATGTGAAGGAAATCTTTCCCTCCTGCAGGTCTTTAGGTAGCGTTAGACAGTGTTTCTATAGGTCTCTCAAAAGCAATAGTTGAACGTCTGTCTCAAGGACGACTGTGAAGACACTGCTAGCAAACAGAGGTCGTGATGATATGACGCTCTGAACAGTCATAACACAGGGACACTGCCTTCCCTTGGAAAAGTAGTGCATGAAATATACAACATAAGTTTGGTGGTTTAGCAGACATAGCATTTATCAGACATAGTATATACAGATATATTCACATGGTTTCCACTTTAGCAGCAACAGACAGCAGCTCGGCTGTCTGATTTACGGCTGTAACGCAGGGTGGCAGTTAACGGGAACGCTCTGTGGGTGTTTTATATGTCAGTATATGAACCTGCTGGCTTCATAAAAATTCCTACACATTGACAAGCTCCTGTAAATGCTTCAGCATCACCAGGTTCAGAGAGGTGACGGCTGTAAATATATATACAAGTGGAAGTGCAGCTTCAGAATATGTTTTAAAGTGTGATCTTTGAAGCTCGGACACTGCAGGGACTTTAATTAAGATGCAGACACGCTACGCTGACGTGGAATATTTCTAATTCTGAGGCGTTTTATGGTCGAATTTCAATATAAGACGAGCATGATTGCAAAAGCCAGACCGGCAGCAGCTTAAATCCAAAGGTTTTGTCTTTGTTCAGTCAAACTTTACAACCCCACAAAACTGCAGTCGGTGGTGGGATGTCATTTATTTACATGCATCTATATTAATGTTACAAATAGTACAAGATATCGGTCTTTAATGGAAGGTAATGGTAGATTGTGCAGAGGCAGGTCGGAGTGAGATCTTCCTGTCGGCCCCATCAGGCTCCACCAATCAGAACGTCAGGTCGGCCTCTGTGTGGCCTGAGAGACGAAACCCAGGGTGAAGAAAAGTCTTTCCAGCGCTCGCCGCTGTTCCTGAAGCTCAGCAGTGCTGTTGGTGATAATTGAAGCTGAACGTTATGTAACAGCGTTTTTATTCCAGGGCTTTTCCCTTTGATTTAACTTTCACCTTCAGTCATCCCAGTGCACTCACAGGAGAAGAAGCAAGTCATTTGCAGACTTTATTTTGCCCTGGGTTTCGCCTCTCAGGCTATATGCACACATACAATGCTGCAACTTCCTGTGCAAGTTTTTAGAGTGAAACAAGAATTGAATCTGTTGTTGCTAAAGCTAAAAAGATAGATGCTAGAATTGAACATCGATAGAATATTAAATATTGGACGAGGCGGAACTGGACAGGTGTCTTCATTCATTTTCAGCTTTTTAAATAAAAACCTTAAAAAATCAGTTGCACTTTTTATCGCCATGTTGTGTGTGTGTGTGTGTGTGTGTGTGTGCGTGTGTGTGCGTGTGTGTGTGTGTGTGTTCACCTCTGGCTAAAACCAGACTAACTGCAAGCTTCACACTGTAGCTCGGCCTCTTTCAGCCTGTATCCAAACAACAATTACTGTCTGACACAGAAGCCTACACTTACTGCCTGCTGCCTACTGTACGCCACTTTAGGTAAATGATACAGTGACGAGCGCCACATTACAGCCAGGTACCTGTAGGTAAATGATATAGCTCAGGTAATACCACCTACCTCTGTACGGGCCTCCTGCTCGGCCTAAATGACACAGCCAGCGGCTCTATTACCTTCTGTAACTGTTATTGTTGTGAGCCGTTCAGGTGGTAAGGTGCTTATTTGTCTCTTTTCAGTTTTACTTTTGTACTTACAAGTCGGTGACGCGACGCGTGTTCTCGATCATAGCCGTTAACCGCCCTGAAGTTCACAGGTGGAAAGTAGTCGAGTGCAGAGTCTGGGAGTCCGGGCTCGATCAACTATTTAACTTGATGTTTAAATTTAACGTACTAACAACCAACAACAATTTAGATCAAGTTGTTAAAATCTTTTTCTTTCTAGTTCCAGTTGAGTGAAAGTTCACTGTGTCTTAATGTGACAGCTCTTTATCCCAGCCGTTCTCTATCTGACATTTAAGACTGGCTTTGGACCAGAATCAAACAGTTTTCTCTTTCTCCTGCATGATTTGTGCAATCTGCTCCTCGTTATCATGCAGGAGCTGTGCCCGCAAGAAACTTTGGCACCTTCTACTTAAAAAAACAAACACAATTTTTTTTTTTGTTTGTTTAGCTGATGCTTACTGATGCTAACTGATGCTAACTGACAGAGAGTAGATGTTGTCACGTATGACTTTGGCGATGCTCTGTTGATCCCTGAGGGTGAACCTCTCTGTGCAGCTTCTGTGTGTGTGTGTGTGTGTGTGTGTGTGTGTGTGTGTGTGTGTTTGTATAAAGAAGCAAAAGCAAGAAACTGAATTTGAAATGTACTCATATTTCCAGCAGGTTACAGTCACGTTTAAGTTCCCATCATGCATCAGGTGTTGATTTTAAATGCAGTTTGACACTACAAAACAAACGATAAGCCTGAAAGTACGCACAATACATCAGTCTGTCACCTTCTGATCAAACAAAATGTTCCATGTTATTCGTGCTGTTTGCCGTCTGCACATGCTTTGGCTCATATGTACCAACGACCGTGCCAACAGCTCTGGAGGGCGCTGGAACAGCGTGCTGCTTATAGAGGAGGAGGAGGGCAGGACTGGCGTGCAAAGACATAGAAATATGACCTGAAGATGTTTCCTGCAGCCAATAATTGCAGCTTTACAACAAACATCTGGTAATAGTGGGAGGGACAAACACACCTCTTGTCAGCGTTGTGTGTTTTTAAGAAAAAAGAGGCTTTTAGTAAATGTAGAAGCTTCTGTAGCTCGTTTATCATCCGTGGCTCTTAAATCCATTGCTAATGCCTGAGTAAGACCCCCCGCTCCTCTGGGTGATATAATGTCCGACCCCCGACACAAACGCACCAGAGACACAATCCAGACGGTGTGTGTTGGTTTTCATTATTATTAGCCAAAGGGCTTCAGTTTTACTTCGACTGAAAGTCCTCAGAGTCTTTACTTTAGTCTTTCCTGGCTTTAATATCTGTGTCATATTGGATCCATTAAGTCCAATAACATCCGCTCCCATTGGGTAAACCCCGAGGGTCAGAGGTCAGGATGACAGGATGGTGTGTGTGTGTGTGTGTGTGTGTGTGTGTGTGTGTGTGTGTGTGTGTGTGTGTGTGTGTGTGTGTGTGTGTGTGTTCAAGCGATGGTTAGGTCAACACGCTGGAGCTTTTCAAGTTGCAGAGCAGTCAGGAAGTAGGTGCTTTATTTAATTTTGTCGGACCGCCGTCTGTGTCGATCAGAACCACATTTCGACGAGTCGCCAGAGGGGTCAGCTCAACGTTTTCTGTGTCCCGCTGGAGCCGAGTTCCTCCTCTAGTCGGGGGGTTTCTGCAGCGATTAAATTCTCAAACCGGGGATCTGGTGTTTTCAGTGACGTTGTTCTCAATCATATCATCGAGCCCTATTGGTTATAAAACATCCCCCGACACACTGAGGAGACAGTCAGCCTCTAGGCACCACCGCTAGTTTTTCACCACTGTCGGCTCTAGTCGGCCTTTGTCACCGGCCAATCAGCTGATTTAACATGTTAAATTAATGGAAGTCATTAAGAACGAAAAAGGACAATAATTTAATGAGTAATTTTCCCAGTTTTCCACTAAAACTGAGGAAACTGAAAGATAATGCTCTTCTCTCTCTGCCACGTTTTATTATGAAAGTAAAAACAGAAGGCCATGTTCTGTACCATGATCTTACTCTCCTCTTCAGTGTTTGACTGTGTCGATGTAAATAAAGCTCTGACAGAGAGACAACGTTATGTCAAGCCACAGAAACATCTAGCTGGTGGTCGATAACGGTTGTATTTATTTATAACGTGTTTCCCAATAAACAGAGCAAGATTTCAGCTTCAGGACAGACCAGGTCCTAAAACAACAAACAAACAAATGTGAAACCCAAACTACAATAATGGTTAATCTCAATAACTCACATAAACAGGAGAAACCTTGGTCGAAAGAAACGGCAGACAAACCGCTAAAGTCGTCCTAAGCCTGGCAAAATCTGCAGGGATAAAAACGAAGGTGTGGCCGGTCGGGACGGGGAGGGGGATGAGTCTTGCCGACTGTCAGGCCGAAGAGGGAATAAAATTTATGTAAAAACAACAGGTTATAGTAAAATGCACCTGATGCACATGAACGTCGTCTCTCATAAAGTAAATCAAGCCAAAAAAAGAAAAAAAA